TCAAGGAGAAAGCACAAGTGGGCCACTCATGGACTCCCCCATCTACTGTTTACAGATCTCTCTCTCTCTCTCTCTCTCTCCAATTTAATTATGTGGGCAACACTTGACCATACTGGCTCAGCCAAGTGCCTCTGAACTGGTTTGGGAAGAGTCCAGAGTCAGGGATGAGCAGCAAGACGGCAGACGTGGGAACTATTTAGAAAACCCAGAGAGAGGGGGGGAGGGAGGGATGGAGAGGGAGGGAGAAGTCTTCAGAGCCCCCAAATGTAAGGCTCTTGTGGCTGCATCTCTAAGAGGACCTTGGACAGCAGGAGGCTGTGCAGACAAGGACAAACCTGCATGGTGATGGGACCTGGGCAAGCGGCCCTTTCTGGGGCCATTTACCCGAAGGGGGGAATGAGCAAGACGGAGGAGACAGGATATAAAGGGAGAGGCTGACACAGGACGCCGTGGCAGTGGTGGCGGGGAAGCTTCTCTCCCTCTTTCTCCGAGCCTTAGAACTGGGGCCGCCCCTTTGAAGCCGCCGGCCTGCACGGCTTTAAAAGGGGGCCTGACAGATTCCGCCAGGAGAGGCTGCTTCTCCAGGGCTACCTGTCCTAAGGGTGCTGGCCTTCCTCCAGTAGCCAAACTGGGACTTCTCCCACGGAGCTGTCCTCCTTCCGGCTGGCCACTGCACAGCTGAGGGCAGGGAGAATCAGCAAAACCAAAGCCCCACCTTGTCTAGAGAACTGAGCTTCAGGCCCCCAAACTGACCTGTTTTTATATTTCAATGGCCAAGAAAAAAAAATACTGTATTGTACTACCCACCCTTGTTTTGGCTTTTGAAGAAGAGGCCGCGTGGCCCCCTCACCTCCTCCCCAACCCTAGATTTGCTCTACTGATACCTCTTTTTACAAGAATCCCAAAGACTTTTGAAAAGTGAGGACCTATATCTTAAAAATAACAGGTAATAAACTTATGGCCTGATCCAACCAAAGGGAAATGAATGCTAGAATCCTAGGGGTGCTGAGCTGCTGGACACGTAAACTGACTTCCAAGGAGACAGAAGACAGCTCTCACTCATGCAACTGGGAATGTCATCATCATCATCATCATCATCATCTTGGAACTGCAGAGCTGGAAGGGACCCTCTGGATGCAGCCCCTGCCAGGGAGGCCCAGTGGGGAGGAGGGGAATCAAATTCCCAGCCTCTGGCTCTGCAGCCAGGGACCTAAAACACCGAGCTCTCCAACTTGTAATCATCCTCCCCAAGTCCATTTTAAGTCTCCCTTCAGGGCAGGACAAAGGGGAAGCTGGAGGTTGCCTCTGTTCCCACAACACACACTTGGAAGGAGGAGAAAGACAGGCGCCTTTCCAACCTGTGGCCTCTTCTTCAGGAGTTGCCCACCCTGCCCGGGAGCCACACCAGATGCCAGGCAGGGAAAGGGGCACCCTGCTTGAGCGTGCCCAGAAGGGGTCGTGGAAGAAGTCCGCCGCCATCCTCTCCAGGCATCCCTCCTCACGGTTTGCATCTGGAATGGCCCCCTGCCCCCCCCATTCCCTCCTTCTCTGCTGGCTCAAAACCAACCCAAGCTTCAGTCTCTTTTAAGGAGACTCGTCACAAGAGCGCTGCCCACCCTCTCCCGCTGCCCGCGCCACCCCTCCCGGTGCCAGCCTCACCAGGAGAGACGCCACCACGGTCGCCCCGCCAGCAAGAAATCCGGACCAAGCAGAAACAAGGGGCCAAACCCTCCTTAAGAGAGAGAGGAGCGGCGGCGGCCGGCTAAGGAGACCCTCCCTGGCTCTCGAGTAGTCGGAGGAAGGTCTCGATTTAGGAAAGCTGCCGCCGAGGCACGAGCCCAGCCTGGCAGGGGCCACCGACGGCCCGGAGTCTCTGCCGTCGGGGCTGTTGCCGCCGCCGCCGCCCGGCCCCCAGGGCTGCCTGCTCGGCACCTTCTCCCGAGAGGCTCCTGGCCGAGGCGCAAGGCAGGGGTCTCCAGGCTGCCTTCCGGGGCCGTCCTCTGGCAAGACCCGGTCGCGAGACCCGCCCGGGGAAGGGAAAGGAGAAGAAGCGGCGGCGGCG